TTCAGGTTCGAGTCAAGAATTTTTTTGGAAAGTACCTCAATATTTGCGGGCAAACCCTCAGTTGAATCTGTGAGCTTATGGCTAGGGGTTTTGCCCCCACCCCACAAATCTTCGATATCGCCTTTGGATGCTCAGCGTAAGATTTGGCATTACATCCCGGTTCAAAAAGAGAGAGAGAGAGAGAGAGAGAGAGAGAGAGAGAGAGAGAGAGAGAGAGAGAGAGAGAGAGAGAGAGAGAGAGAGAGAGAGAGAGAGAGTTCTCAAGTCAGGCAGACAGACAGAAACAACAGAATAATATTATTCCCCCCAGCAGATCATAGAACACTCTGAGAAACCTTCTCAAAAAGCTTGACATGCTGTGAAACTCTTTTTGTTTGACGTCAAACTTATCAAAACAAGGTACTGACAAAGATCGTAACAAGATAGTTCACTGAGCCAAAAGAGTGTCTGCAGTCTTGGTTTTGAAGCTCTCTTTCGTTTCTCCAGAAAAAGAATTGGAATAGCACAGTTTGTTAGTTTCACGTTTATTGCTTTTCACACAAGTAGGGTAACTGTTATCGCAGTCCGCACTTTTTCGAAGAGGGCGCCACTGAATTTTGAGGACAGTTTTAATTGGCTCAAAGAAAGGAGTGAACTATCTTGTTATGTACGATCTTTGCGTAAAAAAAAAAAGTGTAGCCTAATTCTAAGGTAGCGATTTTCTATGGTGGACAAGAATTACGTCAGAACGCAGCCTTGGGTCTTAGGGAGACAAGTTTGTGAGACAGACACACTGATATGCTCATCCTTCATCTTGCAGGGATATGTTTCGGATGGCCGTAGTTCCAAATCTCAAAGGGGGGGGGGGGGGGGGGGTCTTGACCCTGAGTATTATTAGTCGGCTATGGCGGAAGACAACTTATCACGAATATAAGAAAACGACAGGCAAATTTTTTCGGACACACAATGCGGAAAGAAGCATTGGAGAACATTGTAACAACAGGAAAGTTTGATGGAAAGAGAGGTAGAGGCAGACAGAGGGAAAAGATACTGGACAAGATGACAACATGGCTGGGAGCAGCAAGAACAACAGACACCATTGCTGCTTCGAAAGACAGATGGAAGTGGAGGTCCATGATCGCCCACGCCAGTCGGCAAGGCACCGGATGATGATGATGATGATGGCGGAAGAGGCCCACCGAGCCTTATTTGAGCGGTTTAGGAAGTTTTGCAAGGATCCTCACCATCTTAGTTCTCTCTCTCTCTCTTTTTTTTATACCTACCATAAGATCAGGGGTTATGGCTGAAAGACAGCAGTAAGAAGAAGCCAAGGAGAAGCAGTAGAAAGGCTGCAGAGAGAGTCAGGAGCCCAGAGGAGGGGAAATCCTTCTCGGACAAGGGCGAAAAATCTCGGGGATCCCGGGTGCAAGTTGCTAATGTTAAAGATCCCTTGGTGGTCTAAAATCGATAAGAGTAGGCTTCAGTCGCCACCCGGGGACAATACAAAATTTCCCACGGGCTGAAAATGTTTGGTGTGTTCCACACGCGCATATGACCTCTTGCTCTTCTTATGCAGTTGCGAGCGTCGTAGAGCACTTACCGAGAAAAAAAATAAGGAGGGGGCAAAGGAGGTGAGGGGGGTTAGGGCAGAAAGTGGAGAGGAAAGCTGAAGACAGAACATTGTTAGAAAAGCAGGAAAGGACGTGAAAAGGAGAACATTTTAGAGAATAAAATGTTCCATCG